AACAGAACTAAAAGTCCTTCATTCGCAATTCTCACAGACCCAGAACCCAGATCATTGATACTCCTTCTTGTTGTGGGGTTTGTTTTTTTTTTAAGATTTAATTTATTTATTTTTAGAGAGATGGGGAGGGAGGAAGAAAGAGAGGGAGAGAAATGTCAGTATGTGAGAGACACACTGACCAATTGCCTCTCACACACACAGCCCCCCTTCCCAACTGAGGACCTGGCCCACAATCCAGGCATGTGCCCTGACAGGGAATCGAACCAGCAACCCTTCTGTTTGGCCAGTGCTCAATCCACTGAGTCACACCAGCCAGGGAAGTGTTCCCTGTTGTCTTTGTTGCTGATGTTAGTAGCAAAGCCACAGGGACTAACTCTACAGATGGCTTCTTAACATCCGGGAAGCCAACTCTGGAAATACTACGTCCTCAGAGGGCCCACTCCCAGTGTGATTGTCAGCTGGGGGTGTGCAGGGCTTCTGCCTGCACCTCTGATCATCGCAGGGGTTGACTGACCCACTTACCCTGGGCACACTGAACCTTTCCGCAGTGCCTGGGAAGGATATGTGATCTTAGCAAGCCCACAAGCATTTTTGTACTTGATTTTAGAATCCAGCAACAGTGAAACACACAGACAAAATCCTTTGAATTGCCACAAAGAGGAGGAGGTAGTAGAATGAGTTATTTGTTTCAGAAAATGAAGCTGTTTTAGGAAGCCATGGTTGAATCAGGAATAAATACTTGGCGGGAGGGCCAGCATTGGATTATAGCTAGCCAGGCCCAGAGGCTGCAGGCAGGCTGAGTAGAGGCCGGCTTTGTTTCTAGTTCTTCATTATCTACATGCCAGGAGAAATCTCCCAGGAGAGTGGGCAGAGACATGGACTGTCTCTTTTCGGAGCAGCCAGGAGCCCCAGGAGGAGTTTGTCACCGGCTTTTTCTGATCTCATTTTCCTTACCCAGCTCTGCAGTGAACCCTGTGCCTATCTAAAAAGAGTCCCCATATTTGTGCCCAGCGATAGGCCAGGGGCCACTGGAGCCCGATGAAAGGCCAGGCGGCCCCAGCCCAGGGGTGAAACTGAGCAAACTGAGGGGCTGGACCGGCAGGCTCGCCAGGTCAGTCCTTTCAAAGGCAGGAGGGCATTTAAGCAGAGACACCTGCTTTATCTTAGTCTCTAGGTCCTTTCCTGGAAAACAAGCCGGCCTCGGAAGGACCAGAAGGGCCAGGGAAGGCTGGAACGAGGTTAGACAGACTGGCAGGAGGGGGCTTGCTGGCACGGGCAGCAGGCTGCCTGCCTTCTTTTCACACAGGCCTCATGCTCCAAAAGAAGAGTTTCCATCTACAGGCCGGGTTCAATGACCTCAGACAAACCACCTAGCTTTTGTGCCTAACGTCCTCAGCTGGGGAGGTCGGTGGTGAGTATTTTGGAGGGGCAGCAAGGAAGAAGGGCCAAGGTACAGGGAACCTATGGATTGGAAAGAGCAGCAGACCGGGATTTTATCCCAGCCCCACTCTTTACTAATTGCCGACTTTGGACCAGTCATTGGTCTTTGAGCACATGTTGTCTTACCACCACCCACCTCACAGGACGCAGACGAAATCAAGCAGAGTATAAAGATCCCTAATCACAGGACTTTGCCTAATTGCAGTTTCTATCCTGGTAAGGGGTTTTAGATGTTCAAAAAGAATCATTCCCATTGGCCCAAAAGACTGGTGGGTCCATCCACAGGACAACATTGGTTTGTCTCTGTGGAGTCGCTGGGTGGGGTTCGGAAGGGATGCCCTCTGTGTTGGGTGGCTGGGGAGGCAGGTGCCTGTCACCTCGCCAACCTGCACACACATTCCCCACTCCTAGCTCCCACCTTAAGTCAAGGAGGCCAGAAGGCCAGCTTCCACAGCGGGAGCCCCACTCCTTTTGGGACCGCCTGTGGCAGAGGGGTCCCTTTCCTTCAGGATGAGCTTCTGCGCAGGGCTCCAAGTCCTGAAGCTGGCTGTGTCCTGGAGACTTCCTCCCTCCCCGCACACGGGGGCCCTGCTCGCTCGCAGGGGTCCAGAGCCCACTTCCACTGGGGCTGCTCCTCCAGCTTAGCAGGCTACTGCCAGATCCAGGGTTCTTGGCCTCCACCCCGACCTCCCAAGGGTCTTCGGTGAGCTACTCTGGGGCGACGGGTGTTATCTGTGACCTCAGTCAGTGGTGTTCCATGAGGACAATCTGCTCATTTCACTTGCGGGTGCAGTTTTAAATGTAAGAGTAATATGAAAAGTGTACTAACTACACAGTAAAGATTATTATTGTCATATACTGTTCTAGAAGGTTCTCATCAAAAAGCAGTCTGGGGATTGGGAAGGTAAACGTCCCACCCAACTCAGGGACTTGCTGATCTTACCCAAAGGCCAGCTTCCATACAGTGAGATGGTGGGGAGGCCCAATGGCCACCCAGGGTGGCCACCGCACCCGGCTCAGGCCTTGACAAGTCAGGCTGGCACAACCAGCGGAGTTTCAAAACTAAAATGAGAGAGCCAAGGTCACAGCAGCCAATGGCACCAAAGACAGCTAAGTGAGAAGCACAACTAAACATCTGTGGTAGCCACATCCCTCAGGTGTGGGGCTTTGAAGGGTAACTTTGATTGCCATCTGCCTTAGCATGCAGAGCTCAGGGTGGAGGCAGGCAGCAGGCTGTCCATTGGCTAGAACCCCACGACTGAAGGGGAGATCTGAAAGAGGAAGGATCAAGATGCCTCAGGAGTCCCCGATACAAGATCTGATGAAAACCCTTTGTGCTCCCAGATGGTGAGTGTGGGTGAGGCAGCAGCGCCTTCCGGTACAGATCGTGGCCCCAGAACCAGGCCCAGGCTCCAGTGCGGGCTCTTCCACTCCTACCACCTGCCCTCGGGCAGGGGAGCGACTCCTCCTCCTGGGCTCCCTCACCTGTCACCACAGAACCTGCTCAGCGGTGGTTGTGAAGACCATGAGAGTGCGCACATGTAAGGGTTTAGAACTAGGCCTGACACATGGCAGGTAAGTGCAACACACATTAGCTATTGAATTGCGTATAGTCTCAGGGAAAATGCCGTGCTGACTATACCCAGTGAGGAGCTAGCCAGGCACAAGGAGAGACGGGCAAATTTGGTATGCCATATATATATGAAGGACTTAGTATTTATATCTAATTTCCACTTAGCTTAGTAATCTCTATTTTTATAATTACACTGGAAGCTTCTGAAGGTCCTAGACTGTGGCCTCAACCTTCTGTCCACCACAGCACCTGGCCCACAGTGGCAGGTTCTACCCGCAGGCCGGCTATTTGCTCCTGATGTGATCCTGCAGCAAAATGCCCAACTTCTCCAAGCCTCAGACTCCCTACCTGCCAGTTTCTGCCGTTCTCATAAAACTATTTACTTCTGTTTACCCAGCAAACCTTTGGAATCACGAAGGAGTTGTTGACAATCTGTTGCGAGACCGAGTGAGATTCCCCAAGCTGGGAAACTTGCAAACATCCCCCCACAGAATAGGTACTGTTGTTGAATGTGTTTTGAAACTACACTGAGCAGCTTCCAGGCTTAATAAACCCAGTGTGGGGCACACTCAAATCTTGCTTTGCTGATGAAGACAGGCTGTGTCTCAGGTCATGCGCATGAATGTCTGCCATAATTTTCAGTGCTGGGTGTTCAGTAGGTCTGAGAGCAGGACCGAGTCGTTGCTGATGCCTCTGCAAAGCCTGGAATCTCTGGACTTGGGCTGTTACGCCCCTGAGAGGAACTTGCTGTTGAGGCATTTTTCCCTGCCGTTTGAAAACCCAGAACACAAAACCTTCTGGCTAATAACGGTCTCTAACAAAGATAGGATCACTGTAACTATCCTCAAGTTCAAAGAAAGAATACCAGAAATGTGAAGGAGCTGCGAGCCTGGACGGAGGTCTTCCCTTTGATTCTGGGCTCCTGAGTGACTCCTCTGGGAGACCTGAGGAAGAGGGGACCTCTCAGTACTCTTATTCCCACAAGGACCCTGGCAGAGGGGCCAAAGAAAGAGGCCTAAGTAGAGCTTCAGAAGCAAATAATGCCCCAAAAGGGCACTTATCACTACACAGGATAAAATGATATCTCAATAAACCTGACTTCTTAAAAAAAAGCAAACAATTTATGCAAAGGCTTGGAGGACTTACTACAATTAGAAAATCTCTTCTGTATTTGAGATGCTCTGGTCAGAATAAGGGGAGTCAAAGGCTGCAGGATAGCAGGATGGGAGGATGCGTCCATGACTCGGGGCATCGAGGGTGCAGGAGGCAGAGCGCTGGGTGAGGGACCTGTGCTGGCCCAGGCGATGAATGAAGGGCTGCCCTGCAGGGCAGGCAGAGCTGCGAGAACCCACCATGGCTGCCAAGGGACCCAGTGGAAGAGCAGCAGGAAGCCACGACCACCTTGAGACCTGGAGGCACGAGGAAAGGGGATGGCTACCCATGTCCTTGGACGCGCAGTGCCAGGGAGCCCACAAACAGGTGCCACAGCCTGAAATGCTGCACGGAGCAGGGAGTGACAGCTGCGAAATGCCCCACCTCCACCTGCTCCCATCGGCTGACCCCAACCACAGGGGTCATCAGTCACAGAGGGAATCCAGGGCCTGTAGGGACCTGCCTCAAGAGGACAGGGCAGAAAATGGGTCTGAGGACAGAAAATGGGCAGCGTAGGTCCTTTCTATGGAGAACTTCTGTTTCCTATAACATGGAGACCATGGTACCTACTGTCCATCAAGAGAGATTACGTGGTGACAAGCAAACTCACTTTAGTTTAGGAACCAGTAATAATCAGCGGCTGCCTGTTTATTCTCATGTTCACCACTGACCCCTCCCCGCCTTCTGATTCAGAGAGTGGTCTCAGGGCCGGGCTGCCACCAGATTTCACTTCCTCGAGGCACTTCCAGCCATTACTCTGGCTGATTCTTAGTGGACATGGAGCTAAGCCCTGGAGAAAACAATGAAAACAGGAGAGCTGAGATTCCCGTCGGGTGACACTGTTTATTGAAAGGCAATCTTGTTTGATCCAGTTCACTTACATGGAGGTAGCTGCATATGAATGTCTCTTCCCCATGACAAACCGAAGCAACCAAACCAGACCCGAACGCAGAAACCCAACAGAGTAAGCCGACTGGCGTTCAAATGACTCTCAGAAGCAGGAAAAACAATTATAAAGATAGATGATGATTGTCTCCTCGGCATTGCATTTGGCCACATATTTGTTTATTAAATAAAATATCTTTTTAAGCTAGCTAAAGAAAATATTCTTCAGTTGGGGTTAGTTTTTAAAGCAATAGACAAAAAAAAAAAAGTGTATATAATAAAAACAAAGAATGAGAGCATGTCGGAGCTGGAATGAAGCCTCATTTATTCTGGGCACCTCATGGCTCTAAGGACATGTGCCCCGTCAAGGTCACTGGGAAAAGATAAATCTGGACTTGAGAACACCTCATTCAACACCTAGAGCAGTACTCTTGCCACTGCAAAGCTACACTGCATGCATCCAGCTCACTGCCAGCTCCAATACTGTGAAGAATAGCACATTTAACACTTAAAATGGGCCATCATTTAGGGTAAGGATTCAAGGCTTCTGACTGGTGATCTGTTCTCTTTTCATGGGCATCTTTGCTTCTCGCAGCCAGCCCGTGGGATTGACCAGAATGAATTGGCCAAAATAAGGGACAAGGACTTTCTTACAAACCAAGACAGACACTCACTCGCTCCCAGCCTCAGTTGTGAGTGCACTGCGGCATCACTGGGCAGGCTTCTCAGCAAATACCTAACGACGGTGGAAGCAGCAGGAAATCATGAACATAGTGAGGGTCGCAGTGGGAGCTCCAGCGAGCCAGTCAACCAACTGCAGGCTTGTTGCAGCCCCAAGAGGACAGAGGGAATCCAGGGCTGGGCAGGGGCTCAGCCTGTGTCTGTTTGCATGACTATTGTCTATCGTTCCCTTTTCCCTGACTGCGCTTCAGCATGAAGCGATTCTGACCCACTTCATTCACTGTTACATTCCCAGTGCCAAGGACCATGACTGCCACATTGTAGATGCTCAACAAATACCTGCTAAATGAATGAATGGCTAAAGGGAGGAATCTGTCCCCTCTCCAAATCAGAGCTGGAGGGGCCCTGGCTCTCCTGCTCCAGGGGCCTCACCTGAGGGGGGATCACGCCTGCCCTAGAACCAGGCTGATGCTCTGAATCCTGTTTAGTGGGCTCTGTGACACGGGCAAGGTCGGGCGCTGAGATTCCCTGCTCCCCCATGGCGACTGTCACGGAGCTCACAGGTCCATCTCCTGGGGTGCGTGGGCACACTGCTGAAGCAGGTTAGCATTGTCACCTCTGCCCCATACATGCGCACAGCCCACAGGGTTCCCTCCCTGGCCCTGACCTGTGAGGGCCCAGCTGTGACTGGCCCTGGCCTCTGGGTGTGCCTGGGGACTGTCACACAGGGAGGAGACACCAGGAAGGCCAGGAGAAAGTGCTGGTGTTCCCTGCATTCTCCCACCACCATGCTCCCTGTAATTCTGTCCCTGCAACATGGCCGTGTCGCAGACCTCACCAATCCGTCACTTCGTGCCTGGTGCTGCCCGGTGTCCCTCTGTCCCAGGCAGTTGGAAGGCGCCTCCCGGTTTGCACAGACACTCAATCTGATATGTTTCCTTCCTCCCTTTCCTGACATAAATCTGAGACCCTGCTTGATCCTGTCTACACCTCTCCCCAGCTTTCAGGAACTTCTTCCTTCTCTTCCTTCCTACCCAAACCCACACATACCTGCTTATCTCTTCTCTCTTCTCCTTTTCCCTATGACCCAACTGGACACCGCCTGCCTCTTCCTCACCCCTAAGTCCACGGGCTTTGCCCCCATATCCTCTTATTCCGCAGCCACCCCATTCGAGGACCAGGAGAGCCCCATTCAGAGGCCTGTGGTAGGAGGGGGGAGGAAAGGACCAATAAGAAACGACAGGAGGGCCCCATCATTTGTCAAAAACCTTGCTTATGTCTCCCAACCCCCTGTGTAAAAGAAATGACACCTGGTGATTGGGAACTGGTCTCAGCATGGATCAGAAATTGTAACCATGTTCTAGATAAAATTAATAACCAAGGCCACAGATACAAGCAACCTTCTGGTTCTCTCTCCTTCCATCAGCAAGCTCTTCACCAAGACCACCTGAGTGTCTCTTCTCAGGGTTAATTGTCCCTTATCATCACAACAATTCTTTTTTCCAACTCTGACGTTCAAAGCAGTTTTTATTCTACCTTCTCTATCTTGCCTCTGCTCCTTAATACTTAAAATCTAGTAGCTTCATGTTTAAAAAAATAACACTCGATATAGATGTGTGACCTTGACAAACAGGCCGCCCGAAGGAGCCTCTGTAACATTCCAAAATGGAACAGCAGCAGTCATGAAAAGGTCTGCTTGAAAATATACACAGCCTGTACATCCTTTCCCGCCATGCACAGTGGCTATTAACTAGAACTAGCATTTTGGACCCTTTCTCCTGGCGGGGGGAAGGCAAAGGAGGGAGGAGCAGCATTGCAAATGGTCTGGCAGACAGCTGTGCAGAGAGGACTTCAGCCTGCCAGGTAATATTTCCCGAAACACCCACGTAGGTGGCGGCTGCCAGGCCTCAGGCGTCTCAGCATTGAAACTGCAGGGGCTCCCTGCCTAAGACACAAGAGCCACACTGCCACTCAGAGATCCGAGGAGGAATGGAGCGCGGAGGAATCGGCTGGTTCTGTGAAGAGGCAGTCAGAGATCTCAGCTCCAGATGGGCGCTGCCTTTCCCGCTTCGTGCTGTGGGCGGCCGAAGGTCCCTGGGAGGAAAGACGGGCCAGCTCCACAGCGCCGGAAGTGGGCTCAGATCTGGCTGGCGGCATCCCTGGGGAAGGTGTAGCTCAGCGGCGCCTCGTAGAGGCTCCCCCCGTCGGTGCTGAGGTCGTCGTCGTCGTCCATGTCGTCCAGCACTTTACTGGGCAGCTTTTTCTGTCTGCTGAAACAACAGCGTCATGATTCCTGGCCCTGGACTGGGGCATGTCTCTGATCTGGAGGGGAAGGAGGGGTCTTAAACTCCTGCCCCTCCACCCCACCAAGCGGCAGGGAAGCCTGTGAGCTTACCGGGTCTGCACCTGCCAGCTCTCTGAGCAACAGGGAGCAGACGCCCACCTCTCAGCATGGCAGCCTGTGTTGGCAGGATGGGCTGGGCAAGGCTGGGACAAGGGCAGTAGAACTGATTTTTTCCTGTAGCTTCAACCTCCCATGTGGCTCATCAGGGTGCTGTTATTGATCCTATCCCAATTTACATTTTTGATATCTTGTCCACCGGGGATTTTTTTTTTTGCATTAATTTTTTTTTTAATATCGCATTTAATATTGTTTATTTTGATTGCTGAGATTTTTGGTGCCCCCTTAAATGTTCACCCTAATGCCAGCCCTGGGGCCTGGTTCTCCATGGACGGGCCGTTCATAGGATTCGCAAGGGGCCAGAGTCTTTTATCCATTTATAAGGGAACTATCAGCATAGTCAGCTTCCAAGAGAGGCTCAGGTCCACGGACGAGCATGAACCTAACCCACCGCCTCACCCCAGTGCCCAAGGCAGTGACCTGGGGCAAGGAGGACGACCCCCCACAACCCCTTAAGGACCACAGCAGTTCTCTCCTAAAACCCAGGATATCCGAGTCCTGAGAGGGAACGGACGAAAACATTGTCTGTTTTCTCCCAAAGCCACACAGTAGGCTTGGTAAGGGCTGACAGAGGAGCTGCCCCTCCATGGTGGTAGGAGCTAGTGTTACCTGCGCTGAGCCTCAGTTTCCCATTATGGACCATAGGGATAGTATCTGCTGGCTGATATCAGGGCACTGGCATGAGGATGACACACGAGAGACCCTACTGAGCACACGGGGTGACTGAAGTGGACACAGCCTCTCTCATCTCTCGAATGGGATGACCCCCAAAAGGCGACAGTAAGACACTGGCCTGAAGGAACAGAACTGTGATGCCCTAAAAGCATTGTTCTCTCCTCAAATGTCGGGGTGGGGGAGAGCCCCTGTGGGGATGCGGCACTTGCCCACCTTAAGTTCTTCTTCAAGGAACTGAGCTGTCCCTGCAGCTGCTCGTTCACGTCCATCTGCTCCTCCAGCTCCCTCTGCAGCTTCTTTTTAGAGCTTTCGAGTCTGTCGATCTCCTCCTCAGCTTCCTCTACCTGTCGCTTCATTGCTTTCAAGCGCAGGCTCAGCTGCATTGGGAGAGAGGGCAGGTTAGTGCTGGTCGCCAGCCCAGCTGTGATAGAGAAGAGCCACAGCGTGGACAGACCAGAGGGCCAGCCACTTTCTCCCCAGGCCACCAAGACACGCAAAAGGGGGGCAGCCAGCTTCATGGGAAAGTGGAGATAAGCCTTTAGGACAGGCAGGTCCGCTTTTTATATGTCGAGTTCAGGGTGGAAGTTTGCTAAAATCTTCCCTGAAGCAGCCTAGAAAGGCCCCGTTCTATGATATAACTGGGTGGAGTGAAAGACAGGGGTCAGTCCATGACTCCACCGCCTCCCCGCAACAGAGCCCTCACCGCCATCTTGCTTCCCAGCCTGAGACATAAAGTCTCATCTGAAATGAATTTGCAGAGGGTCCCTCACCTGGTCCTTCTGATCAGTCAGCGACAGGTGCTCATCGTCCACCTGCATCACTAGCTCCTTCACCTTCCGCTCCAGGCGTCGGTTGCTGAGCTGGAGGCTGGCGCGGTCCCTGGAAGGATGGGGAAAGCAGAACTGAGGCTCCTGTATCCCAGCCCCATGGGAGGCCTGGTTCAGGCTGTGGAGGAGCCCGAGCCCCGGCCAGGGCTGCCTGGTCCACTCAAGGCTGAGCGTCAGAGAGACACGTGACTATAGGAGGAAAAGGCAAGTCATTGGACAGATGACGAAATAGGGGCTCTAAGGAAAGGAGTGACTTGCCCGAGGTTTCAGAACCACAGAGGGGCTGAGCTGGGACTACACCTGCCCTTAGTTCTTCCTGTCCTGAGCTTTATTTTGTAAGACAGTAGGTCACTGCCAGACTGCGACCCCAGGCTGCTCCAGCCCAGCCCCCAAAAGTCGTACTGATGACAGATATTGTGAAATGTCATACCCTCATGTATACACACCCACACCCCTCCTAAAAGGAGAGGGGCCAGAAGTAAGAAGTAACGCTGGTCAAGTTCAACCTGGTGCCAGTCCTCAGGCTGCAATCTGAAAGCTAGCTGCAAAGAATCATGGTGCTGGAAAGGTGTGCAGTCGCCGGACCCCACGTCCCTCCCACCCACTGTGGGGCAACCTGCCCATCTCTGACAGATGGCCACGCAGCCTCTGCTAAGCAGAGTGGACACAATTTGCCCCCAGGGCAGAGTCAGCCCCCTTGCCTCTAATGTGGCTCAAACTTGTCTCTTATGAGGCTGTCTGTCCTAGGGAGGGGACAGGGAAAGAAGCAGCAAGGAGAGTGAAAAAGCTATGGACTAAGAGCAGGAGGCCTAAGTTTCAGTCTAGTTACACCAATATTCAGCCAGGCTACCTTCCTCAAGCAATTGGATGGGTCTCAGCTTTCTCATCGGTCAAATGGAAATAATAACAGCAAGGCCGTACGTACTCTGCCTTCCGCACAGGAAGGCTTCTGAGGACGGGAAGAGATACAAATGTGAAAGCGCTCTGCAGTGGGGCGGTCCCTGCCCAGCAGGCCTCCGCACCACAGCCAGGCCGGGCTCACCTCTCCTCGCTCTCGAGCCGGTCCTCCAGCTCTGCGATCCTGGCCTCCAGCTGCACCACCAGCCCCTCCTTGCTCGACCGGTAGGAACCTTCCAGGTGGATAATCCTGCTCTTTAAGTCCTTGTTCTGGAATCAGAAGGGGAGACTGTGAGGGGCCGTGTGGCCACCACTCTGTCTGCAGAGCAGACTTCGATAAACTGCTTTTCACACCAGGATGGGTGGTCCAGGGGGACCTGGGGAAGCACCGCTGTCCTGGCAGCCCCAAAGAAGAGATGCTGTCACGTTCCCTTATATGCCTGAGTGAAATCTTTGCCATGGCCTAGGAGTCCTGGATGTCTGACAGGTGACCTTGGCCTTTCATAAACCTATTGGCAGGAGAAATAGGCTCCTTCACCAACATCGCATATCGTACAGTGGATACCATGCAAAAGAAATAATGAGTCTGATAAGCTTTGTTAGCAACTCATGTGTTTGAGAATGCTGGTTCTTTAATATTCTCCTTACATTAGAATTTAGGCCTTTTTAGGATTTAGAAAACATTTGCAATACCAACCCCCACCATGCCCACTGTAAACTTCCAAGCATATTTAACATTATTGAGAAAGTCCTCTCTAGAGATGGTCTTAGAAATACCTCTCTTGGGTGAGGTACACCCCAGAGTTTTTGGGTGCTGCACAAAGGAGATGCCACAGAGGGGTTCCCGTCCAAAGCCTCAGGGAGGAAGGAGGGCTCATGGGGCCAGCGGCCCTCACCTGTCTCTCCAGGGAAATCTTGTCACATTCCAGGTCTTGCTTCACAGCTCTTTCCTGAAGGAGCTCATTCCTCATCTGCTCCATCTACACCAAACAGAGCAAAGGCCAAGGGGTGAGAGGGGTTCTTCCAAGACCCTTTTTGTGCTGAAATGGCTCCAGATACGGCATTTCAACAACCAGCCCAGCTTCTCTTCGTGGCGGGGCCTCCTGCCATTTCTCTTCTTAGGAGCCATTTCTTCGATATTCTTGGTTTCTCAGTGATTGCAAAGATAATGATACAGATAACAGTAATAGTCATAGCAAACCCTGCTGTTGAGTAGAACTGTGTCCCCCCAAAAGATATATTCAAGTCCTAATCATGTCCCCCCCACAACCGGTGCCTCAGATGTGACCTTCTTTGGAAACAGGGTCTTTACAAAGGCAATCAAATAAAAATGAAGTGGGCCCTAATCCAGCATGACCGGTGTCCTTATAAAAAGGGAGAATTTGGATGCAGAGACAGACACGCACACCGGGAAGACGGCAGCCGTGAGAAGACCGGGGCACAGGAAGAATGCCACGTGAAGACAGCAGGCCGCAGTGAGGAGCCTGCAAGCCAACGAGCGCCCACGACGGCCAGGGAACCGCCCGAAGCGAGGCAGAAGCAAGCAAGAATTCTCCTGCGGGCCCAGCGGGGGGTGGCCCTATTGACATTTCGATTTCAGACTTTACCTCCAGAGCTCAGACAATACACTTCTGTTCTTCCGGGCCACGAGTTTGCGGTGCTTTATTACAGCAGCTCAAAAAACTGATATACCTGTTTAGCACTCCGCATGCACTATCCTATTACATCCAAAACAACCCTAAGAGGTAGGTAATACTGTCTCTCCTGGGGACATTAGAGCTGGGAGAAGTCAGTCACGTTGTATGCTGATAAACCATCCCAACTTGCCCCGGACCTTCAGTGCTAAAACTGGGCGAGTGCCAGGCAAACCCGGACAAGTCAGTCACCCAACTTGTCCGAAATCTACACAACTAGCAGCAGGCACAGCTTGTGTTCCCGAGCCCGTGACTTCTGCACTACAAGGTCAAACTTCAGAAAGGCTTCCACAGTTAGCACATCTCCAACGCTGCTAGAGTTCTCCCTTTTTACACCAGAAACAGAGGTCAGCAAGAATCCTGCGTAGCTTCCAGTGACCTGGCAAAGGCTAAACATTACTGAGGATTACATTACTAAGAAATTATCCTGGCTGAGCAGCCTCTGAAGAAAAATCCAGTCGCCTGCCTGAAAATTGAGCGTCTCTGTCCCCCAGGCCCAGTGGGCCTTCAGTCACAATGAAATGAGCATCAGAGCCAAAGGCCCCAGACCCTGTTCGCAGGACTGTCCAGAGGAGCCAGGAGAACTAAGAGATGAGCCAGGAAAATAGAACTGTCCCTTCCTCCTTAAGGTTCGGGTCCAGCCTGGGTGAGAGGTGCCCACACAGGAGTCCCTGATGCCCAGGGAGTATTTATAATAGCCTGGCCTCAGCTTGGGTTTTCCCCACCTATACAGGCTCCCTAGTGAGTGAAAGACAAGCCATCCCTGTCCCCACCTGGAGAGCAAGGCCTGGGGGTCCTGGGAATAGTAAGAGGAGACACCACCACGCTGGGCCAGGCTAGCATGTGCTTCCATCGATCCCCGTCCCGACCACGGTGTGCGCGTGGTATGGCTGGGCCCGAGCGGGCGCAGGGGGTGGTGAGGAGTGAGACTGGCGATAGGCAGGCCTGGCCATGGAGGCCTCAGATACCGCAGCGGGGCGGGCCGGGCCTCTACCCACAGGTGAGGGGGCCCCTGCATGGTCCAGAAAATAGTAATAATAATAATGTTCACAGTTTTGCATTTCTGCCTGGCAGGCTTCCTGGTCACATGGGTTCAGAACGGTGCAGCAGAGGACATGGTGGCCCGGGGCAGCCAGACACACGACTGGAGGAAACAGGACCGAAACCTGGGCCAAACCCGCGCTCACTGCCCTCTACGCCACCTGCCCTCCCCAGGCCAACTCAGGGAGAAGGCTTCAAGGAGACGTAGGGTTCAAATCCAGCTGCTACATAAACACTGAGACTCAGGGAGGCTGCCAGTCCCTTCGGGCTTGCGTACAGCAGCGGGAAATGCCGGCCATGCAAAGGGTCAGCGGGCAGAGCACCGGCATCTCCGCCTGCGGCCATTCCCACTCCTCGGGCCCCAGAGCCCTTGGGATCACATGTGGCAAAGGAGGTGCCGGCAGAATTCCTGCCACTGCTGTACGAGCACAAAGTCCGCAGGTAACGAATGCAGGCTCACAGCCCCTCTCCAAGAGTGGCTGTGACCCAGCCGATGACACCGCACATGGAAGGCGTCAGCACGGCTGAGCCACGGGACCGTGACGTGCCTCCCAGGAGAAAGTGTTCTGTTCACGCTCCTGGGCACGGGCTGGGGACTTTACTGAGGACACAGTTAAACATTCACTGCGATGGGAAGCAATTACACAGACAAGCAGCGGTGGCCTAGCCTCCCTTCCTGGCTCTACGTTCACTTGCATGTGACCTTGGCCATCTCACCTCTGGGAGGCAGACTGCTCGTTTCTAAAACAACAAACTTAATGGGATACCTGTAATAGGGCCCTCGGAGCTGGCCTATGACACAATGAAAGCACATTCTGGCAAATGCCCCACCTTTTGGGGTGCTAGGTATCTTCCCTTCTGAGGAAGCCAGAGGCCCCTGCCTCCAGCCTCAGGCTCTCCACACATTTAGGACTGTCCCCAGGAAAGACCCACTCCGTCAAGGTGAGAGTTGAACGTGTTTGTGAATGCACATGCTCGCGTGCAGTGCGGGGGTGGCCTGGGAGGATGAGGTGGGTTCAACCCCTTGTTCAGACTGTACTATCAGCTCTAGGACACTGTGAGAAAAAGACCAACAGAGTATCCACCCTTAACGCAGCCTCGTGGGAGACAGACGGACAAAGCCCGGTCAGTGCAATGGGGCGGGGCAGTGTGCTAGGGCAGGGCGCACAGCAGGGGCCGCCGCCCAGGCTAGAAGGCCAAGGAGATTCTCCAGAGAAAGGGGCCCTCGGCGGGGACCTCACGGACAGGTCAGCAGCAGGCAGGGCAGAGAAAGGGGCAAGAGAGGGACGGCGGCTTTCCCAGCCAGGGGCCAGCAACGGGAAGGGGCAGAGGAAAGAGAGGGGAGGGGTGCTGGAAGAACTGAAAGGAGTGACCTGTCATGTGCGGTGTGAGGGGGCAGGTTAAGAGATCAGGTGGACAGGCAGGCAGGGAGCGGTCACAAGGGATCCATACACAGGCAGCAAGAGCAAACACCTATACGGCACTTACTAAAGTAAGCCTTATAGTGTTTGTTACTCGTTTAATCCACCACCCCATAAAGTAGGTACTGTTACTATCCCCATCTACCCCGAAGGTCCAGGGGAGGCTGCAGACGCGGGTGTGGAGAATAGGGGACGCCAGATGAAGCTGCAGGACAGAGGGACTCATCATGGAGAAATGCATGAACAATGAAGGGGACCCAGAGCTGTGCCCTGGGAAGCTCTCCCCATTCCCCCCAGTTAGAGGGGACACAGAGAAAACCAGGACACTGACCTGCTCCAAAACCCAAGAAGGGCGAGGACTGAGGAAGGTCAGGCATGGGGGGTGTGTGGGGGGCAGAACGGGGCAGCTCCTGGGCTGGGCAAGAAGTTCGCTCTGGAGGGCTCGGCACAGAGGGAACCAGGCTGCAGAGACCGGGAGGACGCTGGGCATGAAGAGGCGGAGAGACGCCTCTCCTCCCGAATTCCAGGGGCGACGAGATGACAGTATAACCAGAGAGCTAGTGAGGCCACAGAGAGGTTGGCCAGAGAGATGCCCTGCACTGTTAGCAGGTGAGGCTGAGACTCACGGAGGAGGGAAAAGTTACAGGTGACGGGCTGTGCTGAGATGGAGGTGTGACAGGAAGCCTGACCGTCCAGTGGGGGAGGGACGGGATCGAAGCCCTGCCCTGGGGTCAGCATGAGCGCCAGGGAGAACCTCTTTCTCTGAGCCTGGGGCGGAGAGCACAGCTCAGGGCCGAGGGGGAGGCAGGCTCCTGGGGCTCAGAGGTGTGGCAGGGGGAGGGAAGAAAGGAAGGGGGATCATTTTCCCAAAAGTGAAGGGATAAGGAAGAACTGGAGGCTTGTAGAGAGAAAAATTTAGAATTTAGCTGCTGTGGGCTGGGAGGCCACAAAACACCAAAGGACAATGAAAGGCCAGCCGAGAAGAGGCAAGGGCCTCGTTGCAGCTGCACAGCATCTGCTTTCCCAGGGGCGGGGGGGCTTCTGCAGCTGTGCTGCAGCCTGAGGACCCAGGAGGGAAGTACTGAGAATCAAGAGCCCCGGGGCGACAGGCGCCGAGTGACTGCGAGTGCCCGCCTGGGAGCCCAGCAACCCTCCCCGTACCCTCTGACGCAGGGGTGGTCACCCCTGCTCTCCAGGTGGGAGGTTCAGCAACGGGGGAAGCCGCTTTGGGATTCTGATCCAGGCTTTCTGGCTGAAAATCCCATGTTCCTTTTCTCCCTCTCAGCAAACCTGTAGGACCAGGGCTCTCAGGAAAGGCAGGTCCTACAGAGAGGGGGAGCTCCCGCAAGGACTTCAGAGCCCAAAAGGAGCATGCGTCTATGGTGGAGGGATTCGAGGATCACCAAGCCATCCCTGAGCGCTGGGCCCAGGCCAGGAGTCAGGACAAACCCTGTGACGTAAAGAAGCAGCCGCTGGCCAAGTCTTGCCCCCTCCATGGCCTGCACTGAAAATCTGGATCCCAGCAGAAAACAGGCCCCCCGGGGCAGAGGAGCGCTTGGGAGGCAGCGTGGGGGAGGTCTCTGGAGCCTTAAGACCTCCCTGGAGGGGCCCCGGCAAACAGGGACTCTCCAAAGAGAAAAGCAAAACAAACAATAAATATTTCTACCCCATCCCATCTCCTCAAAGATGGCTATTAAAATGGAAGCATACAATAAATCAGAGTGTGGAACAGGAAGAAGCACATGTGGAACCATAAAACCAACCAGTGACTGGGACCAGGCTGTTTTTCTTGAGCCTTTTGGAAACCAAGGTTTTTGGCAAACA